CTTCGGCTATATAACTATTGTGGCGTTTTTAACATGACCTACAAAACTTTCGCTCGCGAGCCAAATTTATCCGCCAAACACCCACCCTCGGCCGCCCTTGTCGCTGTTGGGCCGGCGTCTTCTCCAGGAAGATCTATGCCCGGGGAAGAGCGAACCTAAACAAATGCCGGGATTTTCGTTTAAGCTTAGTCTTATGCTTAATCCAAAGCCTAAGCTTAAACTGAGGCCTAAGCAAAGCTTAAGTCTAAACCAAGTCTAAGCCTAAGCCCAGGCCTAAACCTAAGCTAATTGTAAGCTTAAGCCAAGCCTAAACCTAGACTAGGCCTAAGCCTAAGCGAAGCCTAAGCCCAAGCCTAAGCCAAGCCTAAGCCTCAAGCCTAGAAACCCAAGCCCACAAACCCAAGCCTAAGCCCAAGCCTAAGCCTAAAAACCTGATCCTGAGCCTAAGCTTAAGCCTAAGTCAAGCTCTAACTACCTTCAGTGACTGCTCGGGGCGGACGGCGTGGCGGCGGACGGGCGGTGTGCGCGCTCCGGTCGGGTCGGCCGATGAGGTAGTGAACGTTAAAGTCGGTTGTTGAGCGGGCAGGGCATCATTGGGTTGCGTAAGCGATTTTCTGGGGGCTGGACGGGGTGGGGACTAAAAAAAATGTGTTATTGCGACGGTAGCTTAAGCCTAAACATAAGCCTAAGTTCAGGCTGAGCCTAATAAGCCTATACCTAAGCCTAAGCGAAGCCTAAGCCAAAACCCAAGCCAAGCCTTACTTGAATCGGTGCGACGTGCTGAATAGCCTGGGCGACCCCAAATTTCCGTTGCACGGGCGGCGGGGTGAGGGCGGAGAAGGAGCGCGAGTCGAGGTGGGTCGGCGAGCGCGTTTGGGCCCTGAAAGCGCGAAGGTGAACTGCTTGAAGTGGTTGGGGAGGAATCTCACCTGACAAAGTTCTCGTCGCGCTGCCGCTCCGTTGTGGCGTACATGCTCTGTGGGCGCACGGGCACCTGCTTCTTGGCGCGCCGCAGGGAGGTGGTGGATTGGATGGTGGTGCTCAGGAGGTGGATGTCGTCCGGGTCAGCATCGCGCTGCTGCTCGGCTCGGCGCTCTGGGCATGGTTTGGAGGTTAAGATAAGTGTCATCGGTGCTTTCACATTATCGGGGGGACAACTTTTTTCTGGGGATCTGAATTTTTTCTATTGAATTTTTGAAATTAAAATGAAGGTAACGTTTTTAAACTGTTCTTTGCTATCCTAAACCGAAAAAGTGACAAGTTTTGGTTGGAAAAAAATTTTTAACTGAAAAGTTCGATTTTTTGACCAATTTGAACTAATTTTTTCTGAGTTTTATTTCTTGTTTTGCCTCTTCAAAGTTGCAAAAAATACTATTAAAATATCGCTATTTTGTCACTAGGCATTTCTGGCCCTATAGGAAAAAAGTTGACCCCTGATATTGCGAAAGAACCGTGTCATCTTCTGGCTCTCTCTCTCCCCTCACTCTCTCTCTCTCTCTCTCTCTCACTCTCTGTCTCTCTCTCACTCTCTCTCCTTCCAAACCTCGCTTAAACTATCCTACCAATATTCCCAGACTTTAACGATCTCGGCGTGACCCTCGGCATCGGAGAAACCGAGCGCTGGGCAGCTGCCCGCGCTCCAAAATTCACCTCCTCAAGCGACTGCTTCCGGAACGCGGTGTAGGAGAGACAGGGCGGCTGCAGAGTGCTGGAATGCAATATAATTCCGTATTTTTGTCGAGCCCTACACGACGTTCCCGTCGCCGGAATGGCCGGAGCAGCCGGAGTCGACGCTTAGTGAGGAGCGATGGGAGGGGCAGTCGATGAGGGGAGACTCGGAGCGCGAGGCGAGGAGCTGAAAAAAAGAAATTTTTAGGAAAGGGTAGGCTAGCAGAGATTCTTTAGGAAAGGGCAGGCTAGCAGAGATTCCTTAGGAAAAGCGGGCTAGCAGCATTTTTTTTCCTGCGCTCACATTTTCCCCAAAAATCTCTGCAAGTTGCCCCTTTAAAACCAGTGGTCCCCGGGATTTCAACGCATAAACTATCCCCCACCCCCAAAAATCCAGCTGCGCTGACGCGCGAGCACAATTTGGGGGCGCGCGCGGCTGATAAGGACAGGATTTGCATCCTGCCCTCTTCTAATTAGACATCAAGCCCCAATGTGGGAAGTCGGCTTTTCGTGATATCGAGGCTACGGTAGCGGCGGGACCCGCGCGGGCAGAAAAATCGCCACATTCTGGTACTGGGCTGTTACCGGGGGTAACCAATTTTTGCAGTAACCCCGTAAGTTTTTTGAAGGGGTTTAGATGCAAAGAGCTCATAAAAATACGCTGATGATCAAAAAGCTTGATTTTTTTGGCGAAAATTATGAAAATTCAAAATTCCGCAATTTCTCATACATTTTTTGTAATTTTCTGTAAGTCCAGAAATGCTAAAAATTATTTAAAATATGTTAGACATCATGGACGGAAAAACCAAAATTAGTTCCCCCGATGAAATCCCCCCGCTGATAGTCCAGTACCGACTGGCAGGCTAGCAGAGATTCTTTAGGAAAGGGCAGGTTAGCAGAGATTCTTTAGGAATGGGCTGGCTAGCAGAGATTCTTTAGGACTTACCGATGCCCTTCCACTATCGACACTTCTCAAAGAGTCCCTTTGCTGCACGTCGGCCTCCATCAGCTTCTTCTCACGGCTGATGACGTCGCCGCACTTTGGGATCGAGGGCAGTCGGCCTCGCATATCCTGAAGGGCGAGCTAGCAGAGATTCTTTAGGAAAAGACAGACTAGCAGAGATTCTTCAGTACCTCCATCATCCTCAGATGCTTGACCCTCAGCACATCGAGCTGCACCATGCCCTGTCGGCAGGCTTCTAGCCGATCCCGGATCCCAGACTCATCCTGGCTGGCCGCCACCGTCGAATACGTGTCTGAAGGTGGATTAATGTAAGCGTCTTAAAGGGCCATTGAAGGCAAACATCCAGCTGGTCCCCCCGTTTCTTGGGACCACTCCAACCAAAGCTACAGTACCTGCTACTTGTAAATCCAAAAAAAATGCCTCGAGGCGCAGCTCTTTTGTCCCAAACGGGTCCCGCAACGGCTACAGGGGATTGATTGATAATTAACAAGGGTCTCGGGGTTATGGATTTGACTTCGGAGGCCCTTTAAAATCCAACTTTCCCACCTGGCGGTCGGGCGGCAGGACCCGTCGCACATAGCGACATACCAGGTGCCACCGCAACGTGCCGCAGACGAGTAGCACACCGCTGAAGGAGAGAGAAAATGAAGAGAGAGAGAACGAGAGAGAGAGAGAGCAAAAGAGAGAGAGGGAGAGAGGGAGAGAGAGAGAGGAGAGAGAGGGAGAGGGAGAGGGATGAGAGAGAGAGGGAGAGAGGAAGAGAGAGAGGGAGAGAGAGGGAGAGAGAGCGCAGCCGAAAGCAGTCACAAAGTCTCAAACTGCCAGAAGCACCGTAAAGAGCTATGCTATTTTACAAAAATGGCTAAGCTAAAGAAACACAGTTAGCTTCTTCCCCCGCTAACGAACTAGTACCGTAAATCCAGTTATAGAGAAAAACTTGAAAAATTTTTTAAGAAAGGCAGGCTAGCCGAGATTCTTTCCGAAACCATAACGAAAATGGGTATTTCGTAGCCCCAAGGGCTCGTCGGTCGCGATGACCTAAAAAATAACAAATCGCCCTGGGGGGCCGCGCGGCGCCCGAGGCCGACCACTCAATCATCGCCGGGTAAACAGCGATTCACACGCATCCCACGATTTTAAAGGACCATTGAAGGCAAATCCGTGGCCCTGGGACTCTTGGCAAGTAGCCAACGACAGGCACTTTTTTGCGTATACACGAAGAGGGACTGTAGCTGGGTTGGCGGAGGCGAAAAATCGGAGGGGCCGGGCTGGATTTGCCTTCAATGGTCCTTTAAAAACGGCAGAATCAAAATAAATATTAGATGGGAATGGTCAAACGTAGAGGAGGAGAAGACAGGGAGAGAGAGGGAGGGGGGGGGGGGGGGGGGGGGGGAGGGGGGGAGGCGAGAGAGAGAGGGAGAGAGAGCAAGAAACCTAGTAGCACAATAACCCAAATCAGACCCCGCCGGCGGGTTGTAATGACCCAAAAAGCGGGGACAAAGAATCGGTGAAATGGGAGCCGACCCCGGGCGCGGGGCGGGATCGGTGGATATGCCCTGGGGGCATATCCGAGGCGCTCCCGCGCTGCGGGATCTCGTCCCCCTCTCCCCCCACCCGCAACTTATCACTAATAGAGATCCTCCTCAATCCACATTCCGGCGCGGGGGTGAGGGGCGCCCCCACCCCCCCCCCGGGTTGGATCCAGCTTCTTCTGCCTTTAGCTAAACCCGTGTATGCACCCGCGCATATACGACCTCAAAATGTACCTGGGGTGTTACAGGTTAAAGCCTAGGTTTAGGCATGGCTTAGGCTTGGCTTAGTCTTGGCCTAGGCTTGGCTTAGGCTTGGCTTAGGCTTGACTTAGGCTTCGGCTTTAGGCTTAGGCTTAGGCGATCTACAGGAGAGGGCAGGCTAGCAGAGATTCTTCGCGAATTTTTCCTGCCTCGCCCTATCCGCGACAACCCGAATGTCCACATTCCGGAAAAAGGCGGCCGCTACAAACCCGTGCATGCAGAGGCGCATATTTTCGCCCAATCATCTTCCAGCCCCTCCCGAGATGGGGCGCTGCAAAAACGGGATCCGGCATAATCGCGCAGCGCGCTGTGGGGGCGGGTGTTTATTTATGGGGAGGCGAGGGTAGGCTAGCAGGTATTCTTTAGGAAAAGGCAGGATAGCAGAGATTCTTTAGGAAAAGGCAGACTAGCAGAGATTCTTTGCTATTAAAATACCGACAATTTATTATTGCACACAAGTGGGGGGTGAGGAGGAGGAAGGGAGAAGCTGCTGCCGCTGGTTGAGTGACCGGTCGTGTACATTTGGAGGAGCCGTGGTGGGACCCGTGGTTGCGCCCTCAGGCAATGCAGAATTACGGTAGGGCTGCCGACTGGCAGCGCTGAAAAAGACGAGGTTTTGGCTGCGGCTTAGGCTCAGGCTGAGGCTTAGACTTTAGTACCTCTAGCCCCATCATCAGAGGATCACCGCCGAGCTCGAGCGCGCTCATGATCACCTGCGTCCAGCAGTCGTATGCCTGGAAAGTTGAGGAGCTTTGCTAGCCTGACCTTTCCTAAATAATAATCTGCTAGCCTGCCATTTCCCAACGAGTTTCTGCTAGCCTGCCCTTTCTAAAAAACTCTGCTTGCCTGCCTTTTCCTAAAGAATCTCTGCTAGCCTGCCACTTCCTAAAGAAACTCTGCCGGCTCCTTCCTTACCGTCAGCCCGCCATGCCTGGACATCTTCTCCGAGATCCACGTCCGGTTCAGGTACGAGGCCGCATAGAAATGCCCCGGGTCGGCCAGTAGCGTGGCGATCGTCAACCGATCATTCCTGGGGTTCGACGACCTGGAAATCGACGTTCAAGGGCCATTGAAGGCAAATCCATGGCCCCGCACGCGTGGCCAGATTTTCCTTCAATGGTCCTTTAAACCCTACGTTTCCTGTGCCGCCAAGCTGAGCATGGCCACCAGGTTCACTCCAGAAGACGTCCCGCCATCGATCCCCTAAAATTTGGCTTTTCTACCGTATCCCTGGGGACCTACGAATCGCTGCAGGACGGCCATCGCGGCTGTGGAAGCCATGTCCGGGATCTTCATCACACGGTCCAGCACGCCGCGGTCCAGGCTGGAAACACGTATCTCTTTTTCTTCCCTGTCTCTCTCTCTCTCTCTCTCTCTCTTTCTCCGACTTACAAGCTCCTTAAACTACCGTACCTGGTCGTCTCGCCCTTAACAGCCCGTCCCGTTGGCAGCGTGCCAATGCCGGCCATACCCCGGGGCGATCACTAGATGTTCTCCGGATTCGTTCCTGGAACGGGGGTACCTCGCGCTCTTTCTCTCTATCTCACTCTCTCTCTCTCACTCTCGCTCTCTTCCTCTCTCTTTATGTCTCTCTCTTCCGTTTCCTAAGCTTTAGCCTAAGCCGAAGCCCAAACCTAAGCTCATCATTTTTGCTTCGGTCATCAAGTGTAATTAGTAAAGGCGTACTCACACGAAACGCCCCATCAGCGCGTAGTCGCCCATCAAGCTGTATTGGGTGTCGGCGAACACGAGTTGCGTGGGCACGCCGTACTTCTTGACGTATTTCCCCACCGAGGAGAGAGTGCCACCTGTAATTGGGTGTCTGGGGGGATTGAAGCGTACTGTAGTGGGCCTGTACGGCGTACCATAGTGTACTCGTATACTGTATCATATCGTACTCCGTACGCGACACCAACGTGAAATCTGTATCATGGCGTACGTTGTAGGGTCTGCTGCAGTTTACACTGTACGGAGTATGCTAGTGTACTAGAAAATCGGCATAGAGGGGTTGACACGTCTTATCCGCAGTACCCACCGGTGCCAACGGGCATCACGAAGAAGTGCGGGTGCTTGACGGCCTGGTTGGAGTCGGCGCTGAGCTGGGCAAGGAACTCGTGGAAGACGTTCACCGACTCGAGCGGGAAGTTTCCACCTTAAGCATTGGAGATAATGGAAAAAGAGAGAGCGAGAGAGAGAGAGAGAGAGAGAGAGAGAGAGAAAGGGGGGAGAGAGAGGGCGAGAGAAAGAGAGAGAGAAAGAGCGAGAGTGAGCGAGAGACGGAAAACGAGAGAGAGCGAACGGGAGCACCCAAACGAAGACCCACTCTCATGAAACTCTTCCGCTTTATCGGCGTTCCCAAATTGATTCATGAAAAACCCGTTGGCTTCCTGGGCGATACGACCGGCCTCTGTCCATCTAAACAAGACCAGATCAGCCTACGCCTAAGCCTAGGCCTAGGCCTAAGCCTAAGCTCCTGAAGCTACCTCAACAGGTTGTCGACCTTCTTGATTTTGGCGCCGTACTGGGTGATGTGGCCGAGTTTCGTGTCCTCCAGCGTGTTCGGTACGACGGCGATGAACGGGACGCCGACCAGTCGGCACATATACGCCAACGAGGCGGCCGTGTTGCCGGAAGAAGCTTCGAAGACCGTGGTGTCTGAAAAGAGCTGTGGATCCTAAAGAATCTCTGCTGGGCCCTTTCCTAAAGAATCTCTGCTAGCCTGCCCCCTGTTACCATCCCTTTAAAACCACCCACTTGGCCCGACATTCCCCTCCACCAGCGCCCACATCATCAGCGCCCAGGCGTAGCGGTGCTTGAGCGTGTCCGTCTTGGAGGCCGTCTCGTTTTTGAAGATGAGGTCGACGGACGGGTTCCCGGGGTACTGTAGTGGTATGCTGTAGCAGAAAATAGGTATCGAAACCCACATTAAATTTGAACAGCGGCGTGTAGACCATCGACCGGCGCTCCAGCCACATCTTGGCGATGGCGTCGCGTCTCCAGGAGTCGTCGGCTGGAAGGCGAGATTGGCTTGGGCTTGGGCTTGGCTTAGGCTTAGGCTTGGGCTTAGACTTAGGCCTAGGCTTAGGCTTAAGCTTTCTGCTTAGTTCTTAGGCAACTTACCCATGAAAAATGTACGGCCGCCGGCGAGCAGCGGCTCCGGGGAAAAGCCGCTGGGAAAGTGCTGGGCGACGACGATGCCGAGCAGTCCGGCCAGCAACCGCAACGAGACCCGCGGCTCCATGGGGCACCCTAAGGAGGCAGGCTAGCAGAGATTCTTTAATTACGGGAGGCGAGCAGAGGTTCTTTAGGAAAGGGCAGGCTAGCAGAGATTCTTTGCGATATGAGCGACTTACACCAGGAATACAGCGTCTTTAGCAGCCTAGGCATCTCTCCAACCCTTTAATAGAAGATTCCTAGCCTTCCAGGTCCCTTTAGTAGCCACCAAAAATCAAATCGACGGCTTTTTCCTTGAGTTTTGTTTCATTTCCGCTTTTGTCGGCTTTTTTGAATGTTTTGGCGAGCGTGAGCGGGGCCCGGCCAGTCAAAATACGAAAAATGGAGGGGGGAGCGGGAGGGGCTTCGTGGCTTTTTGGGCAGGCTAGCAGAGATTCTTTAGGAAGGGCCGGCTAGCAGGGATTCTTTAGGAAAGGGTGGCTAGCTGAGATTCTTTAGGAACAGGCAGGCTAGCAGAGATTCTTTAGGAAAGGGCAGGCTAGCAGAGATTCTTTAGGCAAGGGCAGCTAGCAGAGATTCTTTAGGAAAGGGCAGGCTAGCAGATATTCTTTAGGAAAGGGCAGGCTAGCAGAGATTCGTTAAACAGGGCAAACCAGCAAAGATTCTTTAGGAGGAATTTAACGTATCGCCAAAAATTTTTTAGCATCAATTTCGACAATCCCAACAAATTAATCAATTCCCGGGCCGGTCGTTTTCAGGGGAATTTCGCGACGAGCCGATCACCTCCCCCAAAAATGGGGGGAAATTTGAGGGAAATGCGAACGGCGGACAAAGAAACGCTCGGGATCACAGACGGCATCTCCGCTTTTCGCCGGGCGCCTTGATTTTTCGCGATTCCCTCTCTCGATTCCGCTTAAAGTTGGCGTTTCTCGGCGGTTGGGGGCGCGAAATGGCGGTTCGGCTAACTGGTCATTTAGGAAAGGGCTGGCTAGCAGAGAATCTTTAGGAAAGGGGAAATGAGCAGACATTCCGTTCTGTGCTGTTAGCGGGGGAGGTGTTTTAGCGGTTGCCGGGGAACCAATTTTTTTTCCTGCGATTATCTACTGCCCTATAAAAAATATAAACCATTTTTATGGCATTTTACACAGTTTCTAGATCTAAAAAAATATAAAACTAATAAAAAGGTTTGAAAAATTTTTTGTTTTATGGTCATTAAATGTTGGTAAATGACCAAAAAAAGTCAACATTTTCGAATTTCCATTAAATAAAAGAAATATTTGTGATAGCTTTCTAGCAATAAAAACTTACTAAAACACTATAAAAATACCGAATATCTCATCAGCAGGTAGGTACAGGTGAAAAACATAAAAGGCCCTCCCCCTCGCTAAACCACCCCCGCTAACCGCCCCGAACCGGGCAGGCTGGCAGAGATTCTTTAGGAAGGCGCGA